ATACATTTTTAAACTTTTTTTAAGGAATTAAACAAACAAACAAACATGCCTGCTAGCATAGCTGGCTAATATATGCTGAGACATAATATAATCTGATTAATTCAATTTATAAATCTAATTCATTAGATACACAAGAACTGTGTGTTTATCAATATTTTATTTACAGGATTTATAAGTTGGCTTAGTGAGATGTTTGAAATGTTTTAAAGGATTAGATATATTACATTTTAAATTATATATTGAAGTAGTTAAGGAAATTGGATATATAAGTGCTTAACAATAAAATGAAAATAAGCCGTGCTTAAAGACTTTAATAAATGCTTTCCAAAGGACTTTCCTGTACATGGGACCTTATTATCAAGCTGGAATTGTTCTCCCTCCATCCTATGGGAGCTCAGAAACAAGGAAGGGCTCAGCTATGTCTTATTAGTGAATAACAGTATCTCCAGGACCTATCACATTGCCCGGCAGACTGTTTGTGGGCCTCCAATCAAACCCACTGCCCCCAAGTTCATTCCAACTCATAGTGACCCTACATAGGGTTTCTGAGACTGTTTATCTTTATGGGAACAGAGAGGATTTCTGGGAAATCATTTATTGGAACCAGGGACTGGCTGGTGGGTTTGAACTGCCAACTTTGCTGTTAGAAACCCAACGCCTAACCCACAGTGCCACAAGGCCTTCTAATTAAGTAGGCCCCAGATATCCCATTTGTATGGAATGTGTGTCCACCGAACAGAAAATGGATGTGTAAAGAGAGAAGGGGCCTGCTCCAGGTCAAAGTTTGCATCTGCAGGTAGCAACTCAAACAGGATCTCGGAATTCCTAGAGCTCAGCCTTCCTGCCATTACCTGTGGTGATGGAAATAGGTAGTAGCACAGAATGGCAGTCTTGGGTGAGAAAAAGGTCTTGAGGTAAGAGGCAGAGAAGGAAAATAGAGGTCACTCCTGAGGGAAGGCGGGGGCGGGGAGCTGTTGGACAAAGCACTAGCGACATGATTAAATTAGCAACAAGATGAAAGGTGGAAGTCCCAAACTTCCCAGTTTTGGTTAAGGAAAGTCATGTGGTTCTCAAAGACATACACAGTATTGGTTAGAATGCAGAGTGGGTTAAAAACATGTGGACCAGCCCTGCAGTTATGCAAATTCAGAAATGTGCATACCAGAGGCGCTTTGGCAGTCATCCAGGTAATCGCTTCTCCAACACAAGGCTCAGGTTAGCCCTCATACCTCCCAAAGTAAGCTTCCACCACTGCCGTACAGAACACACTTCCTTTTTCCTATTGCCCAGCTCATGAGAGACTGTTACCATCAGACCTAGTTTTGAACATCATTATGGTTGGTACAACCCCTTAATATCACGAGTTTCAAGACAGCTCTGTGGGAAGGAAACCCCCCCATGGCACTTCTTCAAAAGCACCACCAGAGCGGACCCGTCCCACCTTAGCAAGCTCCTCTACGGTCACCATGAAACACAGCCAGGGGACGTATGTCCACGTGTGAATAGGCACGAAACCTGCGGAATAATTAATGACTGATAAAAAGGTGGATTTGGAGTTCACGAGTATTTGGCTGGTAACTTCAGGTGATGTGCAAAATAAACCACTTCCCTTGACAAAGGCATAGGGACTTCTCGGCATTCCCTGATACTTTCAACGCTCCAAGACCCCCTGCTGTTCAAGCCGGAGACGAAGACCCCGCCACAGCCGAGGAAGGCCCATGGTCAGACTCACACTGTGAATCAGAGGGTTCACCTTACCTAGAGAAGTCATGTCTCCCGGAGGCTCCAGTCTCTCACTCTTGCCCATGATCACCTGAGCAGATACTCCGTGGGCCCCAGGTAATGAGTAGTCGCCAGGGAGTGATCCAGCAGGTGCCTCCTTCCTTGCTTTCAGAACCACTGCCATGTCCCAGAACACGTTCTGACCCTAGAGAAAAGCAGCACACACGGTTCATGAGGGGACTGGTGGGGGAACGACTACATCACCGGAGCTTTGAGGACAAGTACACACGTGTCTTTCCTGACAGTCACAAAACACCAAAGGAAAGGAAAAGGCCAGTCACCTGTAATCCCCAAAGTGAGTTGGGCAGAGACTAAGCCTGCCACCTTGACCTCACCTCACTGTCCACTCCAGCATCTGCATCTAGCTTACCAGGGGCGACATGACAGAAATCCAATGGGGAGACTTTTCAGGGTACAGATTTTTCTGAGATTTCAAGAATAAAGCAGCAAGGTTCTGATCCTATAGCTGGAGGGGCCCTGGGGAAGCTCTGCTATCATTTGGCCAGTGATGTTAAGAGGGATGTTTAAGAACAGAGCTTCCGCTCATTCCAATTAGACTTCATGCTGAGAATCTGCATTGCCATCCAGATACAAGAGGGCTTCCAAAAGTTCACAGAGATATGACCAAAATAAATGACAACACAATTTTTTATGACCTTACTGAAGCCCCCTTGTATACCGAATCTGAATCTACATTTTAACAAAATCCTGAAAGGATCTTTGGAGAATCACCAGGGCTATTGTTAAAGTGTAGCTTCTTTTACAGTACATCTAAGGTGGAAAGGCAAACACTTAGCAAAGGGTGGACCTGGGCTGGCCCAGTCTGAAGCCCGCAGCAGCTCACTGCCTTGCTCCTCAACGTGTGGTCCATAGATCAGCAGTGTCAGCATCGCTGGAAACTTGTAAAAAATGCAGAATCTCAGACCACACTGAAGACCCCTTAGAATCTGGATTTTAGCAAGATCCCCAGGAATAAGGGGTGATTAGGATCATCTATAAAGAACAGGTGAGTCCCGGGAAAGAAGCGCACCAACATCCGTGATCCAAAGATTGTAAATTACATGATCCAAATCCAATGAAAGGAATCGTCTGAGCTTAAAATTGTGAGATTCTCGTGTGCAGAAGGCTACGGATGACAGGGCAAGCCCAAAACGCCTTTACAGGATTTACACAGGGAATGAGCCTCCAGTGACTTCCCTCTACCCTTAACGGGGAATGGGAACAACCTGGTTATCAGCACTGGAGAGGGGACGATGGTGGATTGAAATGATTCGTCGGACTTGGTTAAAACCTTGTCATTCGATACCCTTTGTGCTGGATCTGATGGTTACTATTTTCTGGGTTTGTTTTTCCATGTTGGGCTTTCTCTCTATTGTATTGGTCATTGTTGGGAACCTTCTTGACTCTTGCTATGTATTTTCCGATGGTTTTCAGTACAGGAACCCCAGGTGGGGTGACTCTACAGAGACAGTGCAGAATAAAGGTTGGGGGGGGGGGTGTGTGTGGCAGCGGAGGTGGGCGAGCGTTAAGGGGACTTGACATCAACGAGTGCAAGAAGGAAGAAAATGTTCTGTAAGTGATTGTGGTTATCGATTGCACAACACTGCTTGATATGATTTAATTATGGAATGGCACGTTGTCTGGATTTGGTCCTAATAAAATGGTTTGAAAGGAAAAAATAAAGAACAGGTGATTTATGTGTACATTGAGAGTTTTGAGAAATATTGGTCAGATGTCAAACCCTGACTGGAATCACCAGGACAGTTTTTTTTTAAACACAGCTGCCTGGGGTCTTAGGTTCTGATTTAACCACCATGGCCTCTGGCACACCCATGCAGGCCTGAAACACAAACTACTCCAGGCAATTCTGACTCACCACCACCATGCGGCACCGAGCAGCATGGTCCTCGATAGCCTTTCATGGCTGGGACCTTCTGGAGGCAAATCTCCAAGCCTTTCTTCCCAGGGGTCCTGAGTGGGTCTGAACAACTCATCTGTCCTATTAGTTCGTGAGCGCTTAGGCAACTGTGCCACTCAGGGACTCCTGGCACCAGGCATCAGGATCTCATGAAGAGTCCTTCTGGTACTTCTACTATAAAGGTTGAGAACCACAGGTTTATGGAAAAGATTCAACGTCACTTCAAACAAAAAGGAGCATATCTATTACTCTCCAAAGGACTGCGGGCCAGCCTACTAGCCAGGAAGCAAGACTCCTTCCTCCCAGGGCATCGGGTACCTTCTCCTCCTGTTCTGATCCATCCAGGCCTGTCCGAAGACCCTCCCCGGGGGCCCAGACTTTGATGTGGTCAGAGCACAGCTGTGGCCTGGGGGCCTGACGCAGGAGCCTCTCTTCTTCGTCCTCCTCCTCTTTCACTGTCACTGAGCCCCAAGGGGCCAAGGCCACGGTCTCTCTCACGTCTGCAGTCATCTTCCCAGCTCAGTTGGGAACTTCTACAGCTGGGGGCTGCCCAGCAGAGGTCAAGCCCCATCTAATCTTTACGTCTCAAAAACTTCTTCTCGAGTTTCTTCCTAGGATGAGAAGCGTCCACTGCAAAATCAAAACACATTGTTAGCACCAAGCAGAGGTTTCCCAGGAGGCCAGTGAGCCCACGGCTGATTTCCCCAGCACCCAGGCAGCTACCTCTCTGACCCAGGGCACGCTTCTCTCCTCCCTCAGTACGGAAGTATGAAAGTACCCCTGGACAGTCACGGTATAAACAGATTTATATACACTATGCTTTTTTTCGGATCATAAAACTTAAACTCAAGGGGGTTGGGGAATGATTGAGAAAAATCACCTCAGGTTTCCTTCCAGAGAGATTCGCCACATACCATAGAGTTTAAGACATATACAGGGAAAAATAGTTTGTGGGAAAATTCCATGATCTTTTCATTCAACGTTTCCAGGGACTTTCTGAAGGCCTCTCACGTGTGTGTGCTTATAGATTTTGTTCTTAAAAGGGAAAAGCTCTGTGCACACTAACAATGATGATTCTATTGTTTTACGTTGTTTTGTTTTGGTTGGAGGCTATGTCTTTTCCCAATCACCACATTAGCGTGTTTTTAAAGAAGACATTACAACACACAGATTCTGTACTGCCGAGAGACCCGACGGTGTGGGCCCAACAATGACAGGAAACAGCCTGTAAGTCTGGACCTCACGTGTTGTTCGGAGCAGTTGTCTCTGGGTGGTGCCGTGACAGGTAGTTTTGAACTGGGCTTCTACCTTCGGCTGCGCAGTTGACTTTCCAGCAGATACACAGAATCGGGATCGCCGAGGGATCTCGCTCAGAAGGAGGTGCTGATTCAGTGTAATCAGATCCCAGGAAGGGGCTCAACTGGAAGGAACCAACCGGTTTGCGGCCCAAGGTTTGATTTTCCTTTCGTTGGTTTGATTTTTGTATTTCTCCTATCTCCCCAAGTATCCAGTGAGACCTTTTAAAATAAGAAAATAGGCTGCTCATGTTGCTATTCTTCATGTGTATTTGCTTTTTTAAACAACCGCATAATAACCTATGGTACTGATAAATTTCTGTCCTCATAGGAAAAGGGTCAACATACAAAAAAACATACACACACTATACAGGATCACTCTAGGTATGCACCTAGTCCTTTCTCTCTGCATTAGATATATATATGTACAACCGCACACATACGGCTTTGTAAAAACATAACTTTAGATTGCATTTGCATATTGTTCAGCCACCACACTTTTTGTTTCCTACCTCGATTCTTCTTCCAAAATGATCTTGGAAATCTTTCAATTCATACAGATCTTCCTCTTTCTGGGATCAAACTCCAAACTCCCTGGCACCGAGGCGGCTGTGACTCATAGTGAGACCACAAAACAGGGTAGAACTGCCCCTGGGGGCTCCCGAGATAAGGAACTCTCTCCGGAAGTACAAAGCTTCCTCTTCCTTCCGCTTTCTGGGACCGTGTTCCAAGTATTGGTGCGCTGGTGCCTTAACTCTAAGACACTGGTCTGCAGAAGGCTGCAGCCCTCCGCCACAGCCCGACCTCCACCTTGAGCCTTGATACAAGTCCAAATGCCATCCTGAGGACATCACACACTTCTGACCACTGACTGCCCAGGGACAGAGGCAGTGTCAATAAGCAGGGAGAAGCAGGTCACCCCCAGGAAGGTAGCCGAGCCTCAAACTAACTATTGCACACACAGGGCACTAAGGAGGTTGCAGCTTGGCCTCAGCTTTTCCTTCCAGAACAAACACATTTCGATGAACGGCAACGATCGCTCTTGTCGTCCCTGCTCCAGCCTGTTGGACCAGAGGACCCTCCTATTGTTTTACAAATTTCAAACTTCTATTGATGATATCGTGAAAAATAACCACGATGATTCAATGGTATTTTGCTTACCTATGGAAGCATGCTGCTTCTACCGATTTTTAAGTTTTATATACATGGTTGGTTTTGTGATGTTCAGCAGACCTTGTTCTGATGGTCTGGCCTTTTCCCCCCTCTGTTCTCTTTGCTGCTTCCCCAAAACTCAAATTCACTGCCACCGAATCAATGCTGACACATAGAGACCCTATAGCAGTGATTCTCAACTTGTGGGTCGAGACCCCTTTGGGAGTCCAACAACCCTTTCACAGGGGTCGCCTGATTCTTAACATTAGCAAAATGACAGTGATAAAGTAGCAACAAAAGTAATTTTATGGTTGGGGGTCACCACAACATGAAGAAGTGTATTAGAGGGCCGCAGCATTAGGAAGGTTGAGAACCACTGCCCTATAGAAAAGGGTAGAAATTGCCCCTGTGAGTTTTGAGACTGTAACTCTTTACAGACGTAGAAAACCCTGTCTTTCTCCATTGTAGCAGCTGGTAATTTCCAAACGTGGACCATGAGGACCAAGCAGATTCCAGCCCAATTTGTAACCATTATGCCACCAGGGCTCCTCTACGCCGAGTAAGATCCATTCTCATCACTGCTGTCACTCTCTGGTAATTTTCCATAGGAAAATGAGTACACAATATTTTACGTAACGACTCCATCTGTACACCACTCCTTTAGCAAAAGCTTGTGCTTCCGGTTTATTTCTTCAATAATTAGTACTTTCACATTCTGTGCAGTTTCCATTCTGTCATACTATTCTTTAAGAATAAATAGGATTGGGGCAAGGGAACTGATAGCAATGATGACTGTATAATAACCCCACTTGAGGGAAACAAATAACAGAATTGTAGATTACTGGATATATTGGATGGGGTAAGATACAGCTTAAAATATACATAGAGAGAGAATAATAATAATAATATATAATAATAACAAGGGTTCCTGGGAGGAAGGGTGGAGGAGGGACGGAATAAAGGGGAACTGACATCGAAGAGTTCAAGGAGAAAGAAAATATTTTGAAACTGATTGCAGTAGCAATGGTACAAGTATGCTTGCTGTATTTGAATTATAGAATGTTACGACACCTTTAAGAGCTCCCAATAAAATGATGAATAATTAAAAATAAATAAATAAGGATTCCTGGTTCAACAGTACGCACAGTGGATATCGATACATACTGTCAATTTACTGTCTAAAGGGCTACCAAACCACCTCACCACTTCACAGTTGCACTCTCCTATCCATGGGAGGATGACCACGCTTTCTGAGCCCATAGAGTAAGTCTACAGGGTCACGTGAGTGGGAGTGGACTTGGCAGCAGTGAGTTTGGGTTCACCTTGTTACCATGTTTGGCAGACGAGACCCCTCAAGAGATGGATCCACAGTGGCTGTGACAATCGCATAGCAATAAGCTGTGTGGCCTCCTTGTGGCAGTTACACAATCTCCTATAAACTTGAGGAAGGGGTGGAGTCTGGCCTGTCAATTAGGCCGCAGCTTGATGACCTCATTTGGAGGCTGAAGGAGATGAACAGCTCACTGGAGGCCAGACACACTCTCTGCTTGTCTCCCTGCGAGACATTTCCTGTTGACAAGCCACATGGAGCTTCGCTGATGGAGCCAGGAGCTGGAGGAGCCACGGGGAGACCCACACCAGCGCTGAGATGCTTCCACCGCCACTGGATCCACAGGACTTTCTACCCACTAGCCTGTGATCTTCCTGCATTGAGAGTCATTGCATGTGTTGCATGAGTCTGAAGAGGGATTTATAGACTAGTTTTGGGTATATGGGCTAATATCAGACTTAGGGACTTGATCTGGACTAGGCTGGGATGTTTTCTCCCATGTCAATGTTTCCTTCCATTTCTCTTTAGACCGTTTATTAGAAAAGGGTGCTTACATTTTATTCAACCCTCTTCTTCCGCAGCTTGCCTTGAAGATCACGTGCTTTTGCCTCCTTAACGTACTCATTATTCTATTGAATACATTGCATTGCTTGAATAAGGTCATGCTCGCGTTCCTGAGTCAAATCTTAATTCGGGAGTGTAGTCCATGACCTAGTGGAATTCTCCCTTCTGGAAGGCGTGTGAGGCTCGTTCCACTTTGTGTCGGTGGGAGGGCTCTTCTCCAGTACTCATCAGACCCCAATCTGCCACTAGCCGCAGGTGGCACATTATCAAAGGCTTCCCTTCCAAGTCGACCCTTTCTGCGTTCCACTGCAATCCCTTCTCTCCATCTGCAGGACCATCCTGGCCGCATCACCGGGATCTGCCCGGTCCCCAGGAGGGTCTGCATCCATGCTACCCGGGAGCCAAGCCTCCGCCAGGAAGCGGCCTCAGTGCCCAGCGGGGACGCCAAGGAGCCGCCCCCCGGGCAGCACAGCTGGGATCCCCGTACCCAGCGAGCTGCCCCTCGCTCCGCGGTCTTGGACTGGTCCCTCCTCCGCCCCCGACACCCGTGCCCGCCCCTCGCCGCCGTCGGGCTCACCGTGCACCGCGGGAAAGCTCGGCTGGAGCTCACGGGCTCCGAAGCAGGAGGGCAGCGGGCCGAGCGCTCGGAGCCCACTCGTGCGAGAACAATGACCGGACAGGAAGTGCCTCGGGATGGGCTTCCGGTTCTCGAAATAGCCTGACCGGTCTCTCTAGGAAGCTCGGAGGTGCTCTCTTCTCTATGGGTGTCCAATAAAGCCCCGGGCCTGGGCGGGGAGAGAAGCGCTGGATTGCAGCGGCTGGGAGGATGCTGCGGGGAGCGTGTGAGCGCGGAGAAGCTTCCCAGGCTGCGCGCGGGCATTAAGCCAGGTGAGCGCCCTGGAGCCTAAAGATACATTTTCTCCAACACGTTTTATTTTTAAAATGATAAACAGTACCATGCCAAATCTAATTAAAATGGAAAGAATAGTACGATGAGTATCTGTATCCACCTGGAGTCAACAATTTATATTTTGTTCTTTTCTCTCTCCATCCTTTAAAAAAAATAATAATAATTTGAAAGTTGTAGGCATCAAAACACTTCACTCCAAATACTTCAGTAACCCAAACTCACTGCCACCAAGTCAATTCTGACGCATAGTTGACCCCAGTGGACAGGGTAGAACGGTGCCTGTGAATTTCCGAGATGGGAGTAGAAAGCCTGCTGGTTGGCGGTTTTGAACAGCTGACCTTGAGGTTAGCAGCCCAATTTACAATTATTCCACCACCAGGGCATGGCTTAATAATAAAATTAGTAATTCTTCATTATCATCTGATATGTAACCAGATTCAAAGTATCCCAACTGTCCAAAAGCATATTTAATAATTTGTATTTTGTAAATCAGATTCATGCATGGGATTTAAAATGTGTGAATATGAATATGTGACTGAGCTTTTTGTGAGAATTTCCACTGCAATTTAAGGTCCCACTTGACAATTTCCAAATGGTTGGGTGACCATAGCTGCATGTATCAGCGTGGCCACATTCTTTTGTGTTCTGTTGTTCTCTTTCAGCACTGTACCTGCCTCCATACCTTCTTACCTTTGCTTCTGAGAAATTGTTGACCTTTTGGCCCAGACTAATGGGTTTTTAAGTAGGGCACCAATCTTATGGGTAATACCTTTTTGTGCCACTCTTGCTAAAAGGTGATCTTAAGAGATAGGCTCCGTTCTAGGCATGAAGAGTGGCTCAGGGTGATAATTCTCCTGGCTTCCTCTGTTCCAGTTTATATGGCCTTTTATTATTATTAAATATAAGAATTTTAGATCTGCTTCATATTTTTTACCACTCTATCAGAACCAGCTATTGTGGCCTCGGTAAGTACAGTAACAGACACCATCTAGTTCTTCTAGCCTCAGGGTGAATGGATTGCGGCTTCTCTATATTTATATCTGTTCTGCGCTTTTGGTCTCCTTCTGTTTGGCACCTGTGGAGTCTAGACCCCGAGTTGTCTTGGACGGCTGCTTGCAAACTTTCAAGACCCCCATCACTTCATTTAGGACACAGGTCATGGTTTTTGTGAACTGTTATGCCAAATGACCAAGTCGTCCCAAGAGAATATGACCCTAAGCTTTTGAACTCAGGAAAGTAATGGTGGAAGGTGTTTGGTTGTCTGAAGACTTTGTGTCTTCAATGAATATGTGTGTATGTGCCCCACTAGCAAATGTGTCACAGCACATACCTATAAATACTTGTGTTTTCACTTAGGTGCCCATCTGTAACTCCCGATGTCCTAATTTGTCTGTACCCAATCAAAGATGCTCACACGTGTTGTTCCTTTGGTTGGGCTGTATTCACAACACTCACAATTGGTGACACTTTTCCCATCACCAAAAATAACTAAGAACCATCTAGCTCAGACGCAACAAAGCCCACATGGAAGTACACCAGCCTGTGTGACCACGAGGTGTCAAAGGGATCGGGTATCAGGCATTAAGGAACAAAAAAATCATATAATTGTAAATGAGGGTGAGTGCAGAGTGGAGACCCAAAGCCCATCTGCAGGCAACTGGACACCCCTTACTGAATGACAAGCCAGTCAGGGTGCAGGGTAGCAACGATGGAATATACAACTTTCCTGTAGTTCTTAAATGCTATCATACCCCCACTATCATGATCCCAATTCTACCTTACAAATCTGGCTAGACCAGAGGATGTGCATTGGTACAGATAGGAACTGGAAACAGGGAATCCAGGACAGATGACCCCTTCAGGACCAGTGGTGAGAGTGGAGGAAGGGTGCCGGGGAAAGTGGGAACTGATGACAAGGATCTACATGTGACCTCCTCCCTGGGGGATAGACAACAGAAAAGTGGGTGAAGGGAGACATCAGACAGTGTAAGATATGACAAAATAATAATTTATAAATTTTCAAGAGTTCATGAGGAAGGGGGCACCGGGGAGGGGGGCGGGAATAAGGAGCTGATATTAAGGGCTCAAGTAGAAACCAAATGTTTTTAGAATGATGACAACAAATATACAAATGTGCTTGACACAATGGATGTATGTATGGTGATAAGAATTGTATAATCCCCCAATAAAATGATTAAAAATAATAACTAGGAAGCATACTTTTCTGGCTTCCATTCCTGGTCATCACCAATCAACACTGGTCTAATTTTTTTAACAGTTTCAATAGCACCTCATCCATATGTCAAATGATTCAATCCTGTCCAGAAGAGTTGTACAACTGTCACCATATTCAATTCTAGAACATTTTTTCTTCCTTAGACTGTTATTCATGTAATTATTTTTTTTCTAATTGTGGCAAAAATATACACAACAAAACATTTTATAATTCCAACACTTTTTTTAATCCCCTCCTACCTGCCCCCCCAACACTTCTTGTATAATTGTGTCATTGATTACATTCAGTGTTGTGCAACCATTATTGAAATCCTTTTCCAAATTATTCCACAACCATTGACATAAATTCACTGTCCCCTGAGGAGCAACTCTTTCCCCTTCACCCATGGTAACTGTTGGTCAAGTTAGTTTTTCGGTCTAGTCTTGAGAGAGAGAGTACAGTATTTGCCCTTAATAAAGGTCTTTAGTTTTGTTTTCAACTTTTTATTTTGACATTATAGATTCTCAGGAAGTTGCAAGGAATCAGTACAACTCCCAGAGGGCTCACATCTTACATCATTATAGTCCAACATCAAAGCCAGGATACTGAGTTATTTCATGTGTATGTTGTCATAACCACCACTTTTATCCCAATCAACTGTTCTATCACCACAAACCTCTCTGCTTTTATAGCTTTGTAGGTACATCCTCCCCCCCCTCTCCATCCCTAACCTCTGGCAACAACTCACTTGTTTTGCATCTCTTAACTTTGTCCTAACAGTGTAACAAACATAGCAAGTGTGAGAATGGTACTGGACTGGCCAGTGGTTTTGTGCTGTGGTACATTACAGGAATCAGCTCAAGGGCCTCTAACCATTTTGTCCTTCTGAGATTATTATATGGCGGGACTTGAATGGTATGTGGCCATTTTAGAACACATTTTATTCAAAATAATTCCCTTGAAGGCCATTTGATGTGTTTCAGGTATTTCATGGTACAGATATATGTTTTAACCTGATGACACTGGGTGGATTTCAGGTTTAACTATTACAAATTATAGGGGTTACATACATTCACATCCATGCTTTTGTGTGCACGTTAGTTCTGTCTGGGATAAATGTTAAGGAGTGTGATTTGGGGGTCATATAGTAGGTACAGGCTTGGCTTTATAAGGAACTGCCAAAATGTTTTCCATTATGACTCCACTACTTGACATTCCCAGCAACGTATGAGATGTTCCCTCACACCCTCATCAGCATATTTTAATTTCAGCTCCCCTGAGAGGCATAGAGTGGTTATTTCAGTTTTTTCATTGAGGTCTTCTTGATAGTGAATGATTTTAATGGGCTTGTTTGCCATTTGTCCTTTCGATGGAATGTCTGTGCATGTCTCCTGCCCATTTTCTAAATGGATTCATTTGAACATTACCAGTTGAGTTCTTTACCTGACTGGGTACAAGTCTTGGGTCAGACATGTGACTTACGTATCGCCTCCTACTCGCTCGTGTTCTTCCTCCTCTCACAGCATCTCACACTGAGCAAGTTCATTGTGATGCATCCCACCGACCATGTTTTCGTTCTACGGTTTATGCTTTTGGGTCACGTCTTGGAACTCTTAAACCTAAATCCTGAGGGTTTCTGCTGATGTCTGACCAGCAGTTGTCTAGCTTTATGTTCTATGCTTACCCTTCTGAACGGGGCGGGGCTTTGGTGTTGGTCTTGCCTATGGCTATCCATCCAATTGCTCCAATCCTGGTTCCTCCTCCATGCCTCTGCTTCTGCATCTTTGTCACACACCAACGAGTCATCTGGTCGGGTCTGTTTGGGGTTCTGAGAGTCACATGGCTCTTCAGTATCTTCGGTAAATGACACCCTCATCTACATGTTATGTGTTTTATTACAGGGCATGTCATACACATACAAAAGCACAGAAGAGTATAATGAACACCCAGGACGCTCACACGGCTTCAGCGATTTTCTCTCCCTCTTGAGTCTATCTTTTTTTTTT